GCGCCTGGTGCTCTCGGAGCTGTGCAGGTGAGGCGGTGAGCAGAGCTCGTGCGAGATGCCTGCGCCATCGCCCGCCTCAGCAGCTGCGTCGCGGTGGGCTGCGTCTCCCGCGTCAGAGCCGTGCACTGGCCAGAGCTTGGCTGTCGCCCACTTTCTGGGAAAAAAACCTTCAAAATCGCCATCCCGTCATGGCCCTTCCACTCTGCCCCGCTGGGCTGCTGGGCTTCCTCGCTGCCGGCGGGGGGCGGCCGGGGAGGCCGCTGCCCCGTGGACCGTGGCCACGCAGCATCCGTGCGCCGGCCACCCGGGCAGGGTTGGAGCCTCCCGGAGTCGCGGGACTGAGCCCCGGGTCTGCGGCTGCAATCCGAGGGCTCTTCAGGAAGGGAGCTGGCGCCCTGTCCGGGGGAGGAGGTCTGGTCAGCGCTTGCTGGCTGCCGGGGAAGGGTCGAGGGCAGGAGCAGACCAGGTCCAAGCAGCCGCGGAGGTCAGTCCTGCCTGGGCACGTGCCGACTGCGAGAGAGAAGCAGGTTCTGAGACTGGTCAGAAGGGCCAGCGGCCTTTGATGGGCGGGTGACAGAGAATGGACCCAGCCACCAAAGGTCAGGCAAAGGGGTTAGCAGCAAGGTGCTGGGGGAAATACTCTCAACATGAGAGAGGGGTTTTGTTTTTTTTTAAGATTTTTTTTTATTTATGCACACAGAACTGGGGTACAGGCCAGAGGTGCAGGGACAGTGAGAGGCTTCCCCAGAGACAGAGTGGGGAGCACAGAGTGGGGGCTGACTGACAAAGTCCACTGCTGAGGGAGCAGCGGGCGGGTCAGGAGGGGTCTGCGCGCCATGTGGTCACCTCTGGGGCCGGCGGGGGTCGAACTTGCACTGCAGTGGCTTTAGCTTCCCAGTGCTGCGCTTCGCCCGCTGCGCCCCCAGGGAGGGCCTGAGAGGGTTTTTTTTTTTTAAGATAATTCATGCATGTGAGAGTTGGGTTATAGGCCAGAGGTGAGGGTGGGAAGTACAACAGGCGGATCAGAAACACTGATGAGGGGGGCAGTGTGCAGGACAGGAGGGGCCGCTGCGCCCTGTGGGCTGCTGGCTGGCTGGGAACCAAACTCGTGCTGCAGTGGCTGTGGGCAGCTCCACAGTGCTGGGCTTTCACCCCTTGTGCCACCAGGGAGGCCCAAGATGAGGAGTTTTTGATTAGCAATTAAATAGGACAAGTTGGTTTTAAAACTTGCAGGCTGTATCAAGCTCTGCTCACGGGAGAACGTGTAACCCTCCGCTTGCGTGCCCGGGGCGGGGCTGCACCGTTGCCGGTCTCGCTGGCAGCTCGCGGGGCTCCGCTCGCCATACCGCGCCCGCAGTGCCGCCGCGACCCTCCGTGACCGCCACCCCGACGGGGCCGCGCCTCCCCGGTGCCTGCCGGGACCAAGGGGCCGTCCTTAAGTCTTTGGAAAAATGTATGTTCCGGTCCTGGACCTGCGTGTTTTCCCTGTTGTTTGCTGCTGAGGAGTACAAGGGAAGGGCTCCGTTTGTTTTGAAGACGCCTCCCTGCCCGGCGGTAGGCCTGCAGGTGTGCCCTCCCGCCCCACAGGCTGTGATGTCGCTGCGTGGGTGGTTTCCTTTCTGTGCAGAAGTCTTGAATTGGGCTTAGTTCTGCTGGTTCCTGTTTGCTTTTGACCCTTGTGTCAATGTCCACAAAATTGTTTCCCAGATCAGTGTCATGGAGCTGTAGCCCAGGTTTTCTTCTGGGAGTTTTGGACCATATTTGGATGGGTTATTTCTAAGTTCTTGATTCTATTCCACTGGTGTGTGCATCTGTTTCCATGCAGGTACCATACTGTTTTGATGACTGTAGTTTTGTAATGTGGTTTAAACCCTCGGCCTTCTGGCTTGTTTCTTCTTTCTCCAGCCTATTTAGACTATATAGAATCTTCTGTGATTCGCTAAACATTTTAGAATTGGTTTTTCTTTCTCTCTGAAAAGTGCCATTGGAATTAAAAGAAAATGTTACTTTTATTTTTGTGCAGACTTGGAATATAGGGCAGAAGTTCAAGGGAATGAGAAGACTCACCAGAGACAGAGTGGGGAGCAGAACAGGTGGGTTGACTGAAATCCACTGCTGAGGGGGCAGTGAGGAGACAGGAAGGGTCTGCTGTGCCCTGTGGGTCACACCCTGGCTAGGGATTGAATCTCGCCATATTGTGACAGCCCGCGGCTGACCTCCAGGCCACCAGGAAGCCCCAGGGCCGATGGAATTTTGGTGGGTGTTGCATTGAGTCTGTAGGTGGCTGGGTGGCAGTAAGCAGGCCCCTTGCCGGCGCCGAGGCTCCCTGCACGCCCTCTCCCCGCTCAGCCCCTGCCCGGCAGTAATGGGTGCCCCCTGGGGCTGCCGTGCAGCAGGTCTCCCAGCCTTGCTGTGTCTCGGCTTCTCTTGCTGGATGGCAGCGCCCGCGGTTGACCGGGTCCTTGCCTGGCCCCCCAACCGGTGACTTGTCTGACCACAGAATTTGGGGTCAAAAATAGTGGCAGCAGTGCACAGCCCTCACCTGCCGGACCCTGGTGGGCCCTGCACCGGCGGCGCCTGCCCCCAGGCTCTGGGAATGCGCCTCTGCTGTGCTCCAGGCCTGCTGGCCCGGGGCTAGGTCCCCCCCACCCCCTCCGGAGACCCTGGGGCCCCGCCACCCCCTCCGGTGGCGCAGCTTGCGGGAGTCGCTGTTATTTCTACCTCTTGTCCATGCTGGTGGTCACCGCCGTTCCTGCGGCTCGGTCCAGCATCGTCGGGGCGTCCTCCACGGGACCTTCCTCGGGATGGGAACGGGGGCTGGGAGAGGGCCCGAGGTGGCCGGAAGTAGTTAGCCCGGCGTAGACTGAGTGCCGGGGAAGCCGCCTCGGATGCCTTGGAAACAGCTTTCTGCGCAAGGGGGTGTGGAGCGGCCCTGGGGCAGCCAGGTGAACGCGGGGCCGAGGGGCCGGCCCAGCTGCTGGCAGCCGAGCCAGCGGGCGGCGGGGCAGCGGCCCTGCGGAGGACGGGGTCCAGCCGCGGCTGCTCACACACCGCTAGAGACCCGTAACGGGGCCGCTTCAGCGCTCGAGAGCCCTCGCGCCCCTCGGCCGGGGCTGAAGGACGACCTTCCGGGGAGAAGGGCTCATGCCAGGGCAGGCCAGGCCCGGGGCAGTCTGACCGGAAGGCAGGTCGGGGTCACAGCCCCTAGCGCACCTGTGGGGATAAAGCAGCATCGAAGCAAGACCCCTGCTCGGGGGCAGGCGGGGGGCAGGCTGACCGGGAGCAGGCCGAGGCCTGCGGGAGAGCTGGGGGTGCCAGGCGCCCCGTGGGGCCCCGACCGGTCAGCCCCGACCCCCTAGGGGCTGGACGTTTGGGGCTAAAGCAGCATCGAAGCAAGACCGAGCCCTGAGGGCAGGCGGGGGGCAGGCTGCGGAGCCTAGGAGGAGGCGGGGGCGGGGTGGGGTCCGGCCAGGACCCCGGGGACGGGCCTCCTGCTCGCAACGGGTGGACCATCTGGACTCTGGGGTTGCTCCTCATGGACCCAGGGCCAGCCTGAGAGCCTGAGGCCCGAGGCTGCGTGACC